TTTTTTTTTTTTTTTTGATGTATAAATTTGTTGTTTAACTAGAAACGATATTAACGTGATTTCTGGTTTTGATAAAAGAGTTCGGAAACGATGTAATACCCATCAAGTAATACGTTTCCAGCGCAGTTTCCTTTCGCAACAGGTAGCGTTTCACCCTATCGTTGCTTCGTTCAAGGCAGTTTTTGTAATAGTCTTCTCTGTAGCTGCAGCTGTTTTTGAAATTTTTTGAAATACAAAATAAGAAAAATATATTTTTCCATAGCTATCTTTGATCCTGGGCCTTGTGGAAGTCTTAATTAAGTGGTTTGATCAACCTTTATGACCGCAATGGAACATAATTCGTACTAGTCGTAATTTGAGTGTTTTTTGCTTATTGCTAAGTAAACTCTGAATTCAACTGTGTCGAGCAGAGAAACTAGTATACGGTTGAGTTAATGTATCGCTTTTCATTTGGAGTAGATAAGATTTTAGCCAAATTCCTTACTGGATTGTATCAAAAACATCAGAAACTTTACAAACAGACAATCACTTTTGCTTTTTTTTAAGACAAATTCTTCTCTTAGCGGCCCCGCTGCCTAGGACTGTTCTATAACATTCAGAAAGACTTTATGTACTCACTTTTACGAAGCAGTGAATGAAACGGACAAGGTGGGGGAAGAATTGAGTTTGACAAAAAACCAAAATAATTTTTGACAGTACAAGACGAAGTAAAATTACTGAACTAAATGAGCGCCAATTGCTTTGAAGAGTGGGATGCAGTCGGATACAGTTTAACCGTATGTCACATTAACGGTTCTTCTCTCCAGAAGCGTATTTTTTGCATTTCTCATGTTTATAATGCATTTCCTCCCATCATTTTTAGTTTATGTCGCCTTTACAGCGAAAGTTCTGCTAAAGATGTAAACTGGTTTTTAAATGTTTGTTTCCAAATATCTTCATGGTACTTACCAGAATAGTTTATCTGGCGAACTGATTATGCGTCTCTATAAAGTAGCAGGATGTGGAGGTTCTGCTGGGATTTTGGAGCTGCAAGTAGGAATTGGAGGCTTGCATAGATTCAGTCAACTTTTTTTTTTAGTTGTATACTATGAACGAACTAATGAAGTATAAAACTGCTATAATTTGAACATTTTGCTTTGTTTGGATGGGAAGATAGATGATGTTTATCAGAAGTTACCAATAAGAATGTATTTTGTTTCTGATAGTTTTACTCTCGATTCGCGGAAAAATAGTTTAATGATCTAGTCTAAGTTGTAAGCCTAGATTAGATTCATGTTAGTCTAATTTACTGGTGCAGGAAATGCTTTTTTTTGAATTTCTGGGGAATCTGTTGCTAAAAGCACTTTTGACATAAGAAGAACAACGAGAAATTGTCATCAGCAAGTTATTTGATTGGAAATTTTTTTTGTCGAAATGGTCAAACAGAAGATTTTCAAACCAGTCTAGAACAACATGCTACAAAAAGTGTTTGGATTGAGCGCCTTTAATTTTATTTAGGTTTTTAGATACTAATTGGGTTATGCTTTTTTCACTTCCTTTTCCTTTGCAGTTTAGGAGCTTTATTTTTAGTTTTCATCTGCCTGACAGAGTAGTGAAGAGCATTATAGCTACTTTTTTAGAACATGCCTACGTAAGCTTTAAGAGGACAGATGCCACTGAGGGTCGTCTAAGGTACTAATAAACAATGAAGTTATGGAATAATTAGGAGGCCTTGCTGATGAGTATAGGATAAACCAGAATGGTTGTTCAACAGCGTTTTAAAACGGAATTTTTGCATCAAAGTTCAAAGCATTAACTGATTGCATAAGTTAGATGGGATAAGCAAGTAACATGGCATATGAATTTAGTAAGTTTCCTACTAAGCTATTTTATGACATTTGTAACGAGTGTTATCACCTTTAGTGGGTTGTTCTTAATTATTAAGATAATGCTTTAGAATTTTCATTTTGAAAGCTGTCACTTGGGGCGCCACACTTTCCTCAAAGAAAAATAGATAATTTTTTTTGGATTTCAAAGTGTGTCTAGTGCGTTCACTTTAGTGAATACTTGGCATTGTTCTGTTTAAGTTTACTTTATTTTTTTATATGTTCTTCAGGCTTTAGCTAGCCTTTACAGCGTGTGATAATGGAAAACAAAAATTTTTAGGTGAGTAGAAAACCTATTTTTTAAAGTAATTATGAACAAAAAAAAGTTTTATGCTGCTTTAGCGTTTTTTATGCAGTCTTTTTTTCTCATATACTGATTCTTTTGGCGATTTTAGGAGCCTACAGGTATCCTATGTGTAGTGGAACTTGTAATTCCTAAAGTACTTAATTTGAGTTAAATTAAGGCTTAACTAAACCTCTCTTATTACGGTTAGTTTCTCTTTTGTCGAAACACCGTGATTTCAATTTCACCTAGAGTTTTTATATAAATCTCTTATGCTCTTTGTAGCGTGCTTATAGTTGTTGTATGTTGAGTGAAGTGTGAAAAAATAGGTAATGAGTTTATTAAAATTTAAAGGAGAGGCGAACACTTATATTTCACAGAGTTGGTGTAAGTCAAATTCTGTCAGCATTCAACAAATTATACGTTTAGTGAGAGCAAGTTTCTATGATAGAGTGAATAGTTTGCATGAACAAAGTATGAACTATTATTTGAATGCTAACAGTAAATTTCTAAACAATTTTTTAATTCGCCGACCTGCGGAATGAAAATCGACCGCATACAGTAATACTTGTTCAAATTCTTCCAAAATCAAATGGCGTCAACCGCTTTTTTCTGGTTCCAATGACAGTAACTGATTATTTTACAATTGTGATTTAGTAAAGAAATAATAAAGTACAAAATTAATAAAGTAAAAAAGTAAATTTTACTCAATTAACTAAACATTACTGAAAGTAGTTTAAGATTTGGTAAGTTACATGGTTTAGAAGGTTGGTTCAAAGACAGTATAAGGTATGTAAAAAAAACTTTAAAATTTCATGCTTTCTTAAATTTGGTTAATTTTGACAAAAGAATATGGTTGTGAGATTAGTAGGAGCTTTGATGAATTCATCGACACTATATATTTTCTTTGACGAAAAAATTTCTCATTTTTCCTTCCATTTTTACACAAAAATACTTAACGGAGGTTGATCTTGGAAGGAGTAAGTGGATGAATAAGAATGGTTTGGGAAGTAATAAATCATTGTTTTCAACCACTCATTTCAGTATATTATGATTCCAATTGAAAACGATTTCATATGTGAAAGTAAAAACAATAAAAATTAAACTATTTCTAAAAGTTTTATCCTGTGCTTGAAATAATCTCTGCAGAAGATGTTTCCAACTTAATTCCGGTTTCTTTACTACCTTATACGGAGGTCAAGATTGTCTATCTGATGATTCAAGACCTTGAAAGTTGCTCAGTTTAAATGACATTGTTGTTAGGGCTGGAACGCAGGTAGAAATAAAATTTTACAAATTCTTACTGTGCTCACCTTGAGAATTGGAAGGTTTGTTCATCTGAATGTAACTGAAGTTGTGATGCTGAACATTTTTTGACCTGTATTTGATCTTTGTTTTCTTAGGTTTTGATCTAATTTCAAAGTGTG